ATGAAGTGACATTCAATTTTAATGTGCTTTGTCCTTTCGTGGAAAAAAGGATTTGCTATTATGTTGTTTGCAACCTTATTGTCATAGTACAAGATGATCGATTTTCTTACTTCAGCTTCTAAATCCTTTAATAACCTGAGAATCCAGATGATTTCACACGTGGCTTTTGCCATAGCTCTATATTTTGCTTCTGCGAGGAAAGTGATACTGTTGACTGTTTTTTCATTTCCAGGAAATCAGAGATCCACCAAGCTTTATACAGAAACCAGTAAGAGATTTTCTTGTCATTGGACATGTAGCCCAATCGGAGTCACAATATGCCGCCATATCAGATTTCCATTTCGAGGTAAAAGAAGTTCCAAGCCAGGGCACCCTTTTAAACATTTGAGTACCTTTGTTGCAGCATCCATATGGGATTGCTTTGGTCCATGCACGAATTGACTAAGGATGTGGACAACATAGCTGATGTTTGAATGCATCATGGTGGGATAGATTAATTGTCCCACAAGTCTTTGATAAATTGAGGGATCTTTTAGTGGTGGATCATTGTCTGAGACTGAAGTCGCATTGTCATATTGCTGTGTGGTAAGCTTGATATTTTGTTCAATAGGTATGGCACTTGGTTTGCATGCAGATAATCCTGAGTTTGATACAAGCTCAAGTACGTATTTTCATTGACTAAGGGATATCCCTGCCGCAGATCTCACAATCTCAATTCCAAAGAAATGCTTTGGCTCCCCCAAATCTTTTATGCGAAAATGTCTATGTAAACAATCTTTTAGAGCCTTGATTGCCACATCATCATTTCCTATAATTAGGATGTCATCCACATAGATAATAAGGGCGATAAATGAGTTACCTCTTTTCCAAGAGAATAGTGCATAGTCATGTTTGGATTGAATGAACCCTATGCCAACAAGAGCTTCTGTGAGTTTTGCATACCATTGTCGAGATGCTTGTTTCAGACCATAAAAGGACTTTCGCAGATGACATACAATATTCTCCCCCTGTCGGCTAATTCCTGGAGGTAGATCCGTATAAATCTTTTCATGTAAATCACTATGAAGAAAGGCATTGTGGACATCCATTTGGTGGAGAGACCAATCTCAAATAGCAGCAATGGAAAGGAAGGCCTGAACGGTGACATGTTTGGCGATGGGAGAAAAAAATGTCCTGATAGTCAAAGCCTTCCTGTTGAGTGAAGCCCTTGGCCACAAGGTGAGCTTTGTATCATTCAATGGAACAATCTGCTCAATGCTTGATCTTGTAAACCCATTTACAGCCAATAGGCCTTCTGTGTGGATGACGAGAAACAAGATCCTATGTCTGATTTTGGGCTAAGGCTGTAAGTTCATTAGCCATGGCCTACCGCTACTGTTCATATTGGACAACGTTAATGTAACAAAAGGGCTTATGGCTGTTGGAGATCTGACTAACACAAATCCTGTGGGCAGGAGACAGCTAGTCATAATTGACATAATTGGAAGTTGGATAAGGAGTACCTGAAGTAGCCTGTATGGTAGGACATACATAATCAGCAATCCAAATGGGAGGTCAAGTGGAGCGTGTAGACCGTTGTTGGGCAGGTTTAGGTACCACAATAGGAGATGTAGGTGAGGGGTCGTCAATAGATGGAGGAGACTTACGAGTGAGTGGAGCATCTAGGAGAGACTCTGATGTATTGTCTGAAGGGTCTGGAGGCAATTGAGTGTCAGTGATAGACTCTATGGTGAAGAGAGGGCTTGTTGGTAATAGAGAGTGATCATCCTCCAAAAAAGGCATTAGAAGTGCAGAACTAATTGTCCAGAGTAGTGGTCGTCTTAAAAAATGGGAAACTATCCTCTTGAATTGTGACATCTCTAGAAACCAAAAACCTTTGCTCATCTGGATCATATAAACGATATCCTTTCCAACGCATCGGATACCCCATAAAAATGCATCGAATAGCTTGAGGTCCAAACTTGTCATTGGAATCAAGAACAATTGAATAGCATAAATACCTAAAGACCCGAAGATGACCAATGTCTGGTGGTTTTCCAAAGAGCAGCTCATACGGAGTTTTACCTTTTAAAACCCAGGATGGCATTCGACTGATCTGGTATGTAGCCATGACCACACATTCTCCCCAGAATTAGACAAGTATGTTGGCTTAGTGTTTGAGGGCACAAGCGACTTCTAACAAATGCTTATGTTTTCGCTCAATGACACCGTTCTATTGAAGGGCGTAGACACATGAACTTTCATGGAGGATACCTAAGGTTAGAAATAGTCATGAGCAATGTGAATTGAAGAAATCTCGTGCATTATCAGTTCTAATGCATTGGATAGACAGATTGAACTAGGTTGTGACCATGGATAGGAAGTTCTGAATGTGTGTGAGTGTTTGTGTTTTGGAGGTCATGAGGTATACCCAGGTTCCCCGCGAAAATTCATCAACTATTGCTAGAAAAAATCTAGAACCGCCATGGTTGGGTGTATGATAGGTTCCCCATATATCGAGATGAATGAGAGCAAACATGCGTGTAGTGTGTGTGGTACTATTCGGAAAGGTTATGCGAGACTGTTTAGAAAGAGGACAAATTGGACACTTAGGGTGTGGAATTGATGCACTATGACCCAATCTTTGATACAAAATAAAGGAATTTTTATTAATACTTGTATTACAATCAGAAAGTTTATTTTCGATAATACAAGATAATTTTAGAAAAGTTGTGTCCAAATCACCCATCTAGTAGTAAAGACCGTTTTGAACCTTACCCAAACCCATTGGTTTCCTAATCAAAGAGTCCTGAAATTCACACATGTTAGGAAGGAACTTTAGGACGCAATTGTTATCACGACAGATTTTGGAGACAAAGATGAGATTAAACCTAAAAGTTGGGACAAATAAAATATTTCTAAGAATTAAATTTTGTGTGAGTTTGGCAGTTCTTGTGTGTGTGGCTGGTGTGATATTTCTGTTAGGCAGATGTACGGAAGTGGAGGACTCTATGGATATGTGGGAAAAATACTTCTGGTTGCAAATAATGTGGTCACTAGCCCCTTAATCAACAATCTAGATATCATCTTTAATTAAATTAAAACAAAAAATAGTACCTGCATAGGATGTTGTGGTTGCTTGGGGAATGTTATTCATCATCTGGATGAGCTGTTGGTATTGTTCTGAACTGATCATAGGTATAGTGATAATGTTTCCCAGATTAGGGGAAGTCTGATTGATAGATGAATTACCAACTTTCTGACTGGATGGTCGGCCATGGAGCTTCCAACAGTTTTCCCGGTTGTGATTCCTCCTCTTACAATGATCACAGTATAATTTGCCCCTTTTTGATGATCTAGAACCGTTATTTTGAAAAGATCCATTAAACCCATTAGATGCATTAATATGAGATGTGGGATTTTGACCATTGGATGACAAGATTAGATCTGGGCTTTTGGTTACATTAGTGCCCTCATATGAATTAAAGCCTTTATCTTCTTGAATCCCTAGCTACACAAAACCTCCACCACCATTTCCATTTTGCAAAACACCACCTGCCTTTGCTGTCGTATAAGCTTCTCCCCTTCCATTTTTCTTTACACCATCAGAGTCTCCTTGGGTAGCACCGAACACGGCAGGATCAACAGACCGCGATGGTCTTGGGTGGTTTGGCATTGACTCTCATCTTGCACCACCAACTAGTAAGTGTGGCACAATGATGGGATTGGCGTGGTTGCCAATATTTGGGTGCGAAATGGGAGGAATGCTTCGTTTAGACCCATGAGAAAATGGATGAGCCGATCTTGGTCCTTGGCTCTCTGGATCTGCTAGAGAGTCGTCGGCGGTCCTTCAAAGGGCTCTGCCACTACATCTAATTCATTTTAAAGGGCATAAACTTTGTTAAAGTAAGCTGTGACAGTAAGTGTACCTTGCTTGGTTTCGGCAAGTCTTTGTCGGAGGGTGAAGATTTTGGCAAGATCAAGCTGGCCATACATTTCTTAAATGTTTAGCCACATTTCGTGAGCATCTTCTATTTGTGAGAGTCCGATGACAATATCTTGGGTCAGGGAATTGCTTAGCCAAGCTTGGAAGAGTGTGTTGCATTTTACCCAATGTTTGTGCATTTACGGATCTTTTGGGGGCAAAAAGGTTCCATCTATGAACCCCTTTTTATCCTTTGTGATTTGGGCTCACTGGAAATTGCGAGCCCAGGTTGTGTAGTTGCTGGATCCAGTGAGAGGCTGCTTCACGAGCATAAGCTTGGAGCCATTAGTTGTCAAAGAATAGAGAGGATCACCTAGTTTTAGGCATTTGACAGAGGGTGATACAAGTTGGAAATGTGGGTAAGGATTAGGACCTATCGGGTTGGTATTTAGACCCGACAAATCTGGGTTTTGAGTGTTGGTTTGGTTATTTTGGGTGGACTAGTTTAAGGTTGGTGATGTGATGGGTTGGTTATTGTCTTTTGGATCCATGTGGGAAGTCTTGATTCAAACAAATTTCTTTGATAAATTTTGGAAATTTTGGAGAAAAGAAAAATCATGGCTGACTCAATGTGTTGTTTGTAGGTTTTGGGAGATTGGCTAAAGGGAATTTGCTGTGGGAAATTGGAAAACTGTGGCTGACTCAATGTGTTTGTTTTAGGGTGTGGCAGATTGGCTAAAGGAGAATTGCTGGATGAAAGAGACCCAAGTGCCTTGCTTCACAGAATCTAGAAGGTTTGCTAGAGAGGATCAGTAATGCGGAAGCGAGAAATTAGCAAGATTGCTCTGATACCATGTCAAAGGCTAATCAGAGAGAGGTAAGAGCAGCAATCAATTTGCCAAGAGAATGCCAAGAGGAAGAGGAGAGGACTTACAATTGTAATCTGTATGTATTTCATCATGATTTTATGGTTATACAGAGTCTAATTTATACAATGTTTTAGAGTATAAACTAGGTAATACAGTATTACACCTTAATGGTGAGATTACATGTAATTAGCCTATTCATGAAGAATAATTCAGGATATAAAGCCTCAATCCCAGCTTGCCATTTTGTACATCCGTAATATTTGCTTTCCAAATTACATCAGGTATCACTCCTATAGTAGCTGCATGTCAAAAGAAGCAAAAAAGCGAATTGTTGAAGCTGTTGGACTTCTAGGTATATGCATGTCAAACAAGTCTGCAATAATCATTATTAACAATTACTCAACTATATATTTGTCTAAACTTTGTAAGATAAAGTTAACATAAAAAATTAGGGAGACATATTGCTAATGATTTTACCTTCAAGGAGCAGGTGGAAGATTTACAGTGGCAAGCCACATCTCAAACATCTTTTCTCGTCGTTCTAAGGATAAGGTTAATTCATCTACTTTCTCTTGGTATTTGAGATTTCTCTCCTCTAATTCTCTAAATCTATCTTTAGATTCTTTAAGAGCATCTGCAAGTCTCTTAATTTGAAGACTTGTTCTTGCTTTTTTCTTAGGTTTTGGACCATACCCAAGTCCCATAATATATCCTGATCAAGTTCCAAGCACTTAACCACAATTTTCATATGTAGTTAATGGTTTGTCATATGATGAACTCTTTTCCTTCAATTCTATCATTCATTCTACATTTTAGGACATTCAATATGAGCATTAGATTAGGTTAAACAATGCCAATCATAGTAAGCAAACACAACGCTGTTACATACAATCAATTGAATACTAATTAATTTCACTTAAATATTTTACCTCAGCTTCTAGGGGCATCCAACCCTTTCCTTCTTTGAAATGGGTGAATTTAAAAAAGCTAGTTCGATCACATTCCTCCGCATTAAGTTTCTTCTCCTCCTAATTTCATGTACAGCCAAATTGGTCACAATACAATTTCAAATTCCAAATAACTGAATTTATATGACTAATCAAATTTGATTTATATATATGTATGTACTAAACTAATGAAAACAATCCAGGATAAAAATGAAGGCTATTCAGAGTACTTACAATCTCATTGCGGACCACCAAGAAAGCCAAAGATCCTTGGTTGTGTGGCATGTATGCTTTGTTCAATTCTCAGCATTTTTTTTCTTCACATTTTGCCTACATTAGACAAAACCGATAAAATACTGAATCTCATAAATTCCTTGTATTGATTATTGGTCTAATACAACTATAAGATTTTATGCATTGACATTAGGATCAGACCAATATTTGTAAAGTAAATTCCAATTATCTTGAGTCAAACTGTTTTCTTGTGGCTTGTTTTTTTGTGCCTCCTTAAGTGTTGTAAACTTCTTAAAATGGTTGTGCAACTTATACCGTGCATTCCTAGATTGATTCTTCAACAACTGCTCAATCTTCACTTGTATTGTTTCATCACCTATGTCTTCAATTTCCATTTGGATCTAAACAAATAATAGGTTACACTTTATTACTATAGACAATTGTCACTGTTGAAAGAAAGAAAACAAGTATGCATGCTACTTATTGAAAGAATAAGAGCATATGAAACTCTATGTCTGTAATACCCACTAGGTGACTCTATATAGTGATCAAATAAACCAAATATGTATCTATGTCTCTATTAATGAATAGTACATCTAACAAAGAATGATCAAATAACCTAATATGTGTTTATTTCTCAAATCATATCAAGTAAAAGAAAATACAATCACTATTCCCAATAAAAAAATAATAAATAATGAATACACTTACGTCTAAGTTATCCAATGCAAGCTTGAAATCATAAACCTCCATATCCTTCCATTTAATTGGTACACATATAGACTCTTGAGAAATTACTCCTACTTGACTTGACAACTTAGCCGGTTGAACTCTATTTACTGGCCTTGCCGTATCCAAATCAACATGCACTTTCAACTTCTTACCAAAGGCTTTGTTCATTTTACTTAGGCCGTTTCGTCGTGTGCGACCTCTTTTCACTTTGGTTGAGGTGGAATCTATTATGACAAAAATGATTATCATTAGTGATAAAAAGACTTATACTATGTAATGATAACATATAAGGAAGACTGGAATTTTAAGCAAATTAATGAGGGCCCAAACCTGTAGTAGGAATAGAAACATCCTTTGAATGAGATTTTGTAATAGAAGGAGCAATAGGAGGAGTAGGCTGAAATTGTTCATCTTGTGAAGAGACAGCATAAGGAACATCTTCAATTGAAATAAGTGAAACAGTTGTACCACTAGTTGATGCATGAGAGGGTGTTAGTGTATGCCCTAGGAACCAATAGTGTTGTCGATTTCAGGGCATTATATCTTGTAAATATTCTTTTAAGAATGGAAGAAAGAGTTTTGATTTCACATGTTTATTGCTTCATTTATAGTATTTATAATGCATGTGAAATGTCCGGATGATACAGATCTTGAGTAGACCAAATCATTAAAGCATTCTCTACGTAAGTAATGTTAATTGGGCAATAACATTGCATAGTAGGCATGCCAAATGTCTCCATTGAATATCATGTGATGGTATTAGTGTAAGTGATTATAAGAGCTATATCACTAGGGCATTAGCATGGATAAACAATTGGTGAACTACTTATTGAATATGACCGATTACGATGAACCACATGGACATTTAGAATGTGGTCAATGATACATCTTAGGATCGTACTAGTTTACCACTGATCCTTAGATTTGAGACATTACAATTGGATTTGACATAGGATGCATATGATTCATATGGTGTATAAACACAAGACTAGTCATGTCTTGTGTAAGAAGCTGGTTTGGTCATATGTTATTTACGTGCGAGGACAAGTGATGGTCAAGATGGGATCCGTTTACTCGAAATAGTTTGGTCCCAAGTTCCCAGACGAATGTAAATAAACAATGGAAAAAGGAAATCTTTGGCCAGAGTACAAAACAGTCATATGAAAAGAAGTTTCATGATGATATGTTCCATTGTATTAATTGACAATTCGAATGAAGATTAAGTTAAGGGTTTTGACATGTCATGAACCTATACTTAATTGATATTAGACGACAGAGGGATTTTACTGCACAGAACGTACGATCAGGCAAAAGGTTCATTGGAGTTTAACTTCATTGTGGCTTAAGGGTTATAGAGCATTGCTAGATGCCTACCATGATCGGTGGGAGTTTTGACCATAAAGAGTTATGACGAAACATATCGGATTGAGATATTGGGCCCATGACTAGGTTATAGTGAATCTAAGTGGTCACACTTAAAAACCAAATATGAGAAGGGAGAGTAATGCATAGTGTTAAAGGTTAATGATGTTCGGATGTAAAGGTGCGCATCCAAATTTATGTGTTGGTGAGAAATGATTACTCATGGAAAGCTAGCACTTACCAAGAGTAATAAGGTAATTTGGTCATTATTGAATTAGATTCAATAATGGACTAAAATATATTTATTGAATTGGATTCAATAATGGGTTAGATATTAAATGGGATTATTTTATAAGCCTTGATTATAAATTTGTTTAAATTAAGGATTTAATATTAAATTGAAATTGTTTCAAGCACTTAGATCAATAATGATTTAATATTAAGAGTTAATATTAAATTAAAATTATTTCAAGGACTTGAAAATAATATTGAATTAGTATTAAGTGTTGATATAGGATTCATTTTAATTCAAGGACATGAGAACAATTTCAAATTATTGCAAAATGGTCCTTATATATAAATATGTGTTTATCCCCAAATTTTACCTAATTTTTGAATTGAAAAATATTGATGAGTGCTTGGAAGTGCACTCATACTTAGTGATTTTAAGGGTATTTTGTGAGGGAATTATGTTTAATTGTTAATTTTACTAAATTTCTATATCTCTTTTGTTTTCTAGAATCACGGGTATGTTTTGTGAATTTTTAGGTATTTAGGTGTTGAAAAATGAGATTTCAAGCATGGACATTAAAGAGGAAAGAATCAGAATCGTATAGAAACAAACAATTCGAGAATCAGAGCTTAAACGAAGAATTTATGGATTTTCGGAAAGTGTTCGCGATGGAGGATTTTTGTGCCATGGCGTGAGTGAACACGTTGCAGTAAAATGGGTGTAACGTTAGCTACACAACTTCGATTGACCTAATTCTGGTGTAGTTTGATATATATATAACTTTTATGTTCTGTTCGTGATCCAGTTCAATCTGTAAGAGGGTTATAAATTGATTCGAAATTTACATTAGTGCATAGAAGACAAGCAGATGAGGTTTCTAGAACATGCCTCAGTGTTGCTACAATAACTTGAGCTAAAGACCTCAGATTTGGATGATTCTTGGACCATTGGAAATATGATTCAAATATATATAATTAATATGTTTATGGCTTCATTAGATTCAGAAGTTTTCATGCTAAAAAGTGGAAGTCTTTCAGTGCACAATTTTCCAGCAGCAGCTGTTAAGGAGACAAGGATAGAAAATGGAAACTTTGCCAAGCTACCATAAATTCCTCAGCACGAACGAGGGGCTGTTCCACATAATTTTGTAAATATTTGGAAGTCTATTTTACCTAGAATTTTACGGTTCGTTATTCCGAGATTTCTAGAGGAAGATATTCTTGTTTTAGTACCAAAGGGTCAGCATAGGAATCCTAATTCTACAAGGACTCTACTTAAGATTAATCCGAATTTTATTCTCCTATTTTGAATAGGATTTTTCCCATTACTTTCCCACAACCCTAGCACTATAAAAGGATGTCTTTAGGTATTTTTTGGGGAGACAAAAACTTTGAGAGAGGCAAGGAAAAGAGACTTCAACTTTGAAAGAATTGGAGGCAAGGAGAAGATATCTACCTAGGGTTTCATCTTTTTCTCTTGTACTTCATGTTTTTGAAGGTTTTGAGGTTTGATTTTTCTATGTTTATGTGTAACTAATTTCTTTTCTAGGGATCCGATGTAACCTAATATGAAGGTTTTATACTTTGATTGATTTTATTGTTCTATTGATTCAATATATTTCTAGTTTCATTCATTGCACTTAATTCAATCTTAATGTTTTGTATGAAATAAGTATGGTAAACATCATATGCTAACTTTAAAATACAAAACAATTGATTCTTTGAGACAAGGTAAGGTAAACATCATATGCAAACCTTGAATAACTCTTTTGAATGATTGGATTGTGTTGAGCAAACATTAGGCTAGATACAATTTGGTTCATATTTTGAGTACTTCTTGTTCTTAATGGGTTCTTGGTTGTTAGGCTTTACTACATCCTAGTGAGTTTAATGGTTAAGAATACTTGGTTAAACCCAAACATAAAATGGTAATACCATAATGATGGAAGACTAAACCCTAGGAATTGGATTGAGACGACAATAAATTAGTTATTAGCAGAGAATCGGACTGTAATGGTGAAATTGGATACCTAGGTTTTTCTTGCATTGGTTTTCAGTTAATTTTTTATTGTGTTATTTAATTCAGTTGATTAAGAATTTATTTTGCTTCCTTAGTAATTAGTTTAATTTCTTTGTTTAGAATTTTGTTTATTTTATTTGTTTAACTAAGTCATAGTATATTAGGATTAACTAAGTGCTTACAAGTCTATGTGGGATTGAGCCTTGCTTTTGCACCTAGACTACGATAGCGATTCGTGCATTTGCGAGGTATTAAAATTGTTCATCAAATATCTCACTGTCAAGCTCAAGATAGGCTCTCTCTTCTTCATCTTGGGGTGGATACACTTTGAGGATTTTCATCAAATTTGTTGAAGATCTTGAACTCCTTTTCAAGTTACAAAAGTTGTAAAGCTTAAAAGGTAACACATCCACCCTAATTTTGTATAAATACATGCCATATGAACCTTACTTCATGTTACACCAATTTTCACATTGTTTCCATCATGTTTACCTCTAATAGCATAGGATCTTACAAATGGTATCAGAGCATCTATTAGATCTATGCTCAAAACTTCAATTTTTGGTGAAATATTGATTGTATGTTGTTGTTGAACAAAGGGGTAATTTTGGCCAACACTAGATATATATACGATATTGTGTGTTTTGGATGTTCATGAATGATGGATATCATGTGTATGTGAAACTTCGTGTTTTGAATGCAAAAATTTCATGTAAAATCATGTATGTTGAATTGATGTATTAAG